CGGTTTATTAGCAGGCGCGTCACAGTCATCAACAATTTCAATGCCATCTAAGGAAGCTCAAGGTGTGAAGACCCGAACTATGTTTCAAAGGGGAAGGATTGAACTCTCTCAACTCAATGCACAATTCTAAATGATACGAGTATCGATCGTATTTTATGACTAACGGTTTCGCAGTCTAGCGCAGCATTTACTTCTCCCACGAGTTTATGCCTTCGTGATCGTCTAAAAAAGTCTTGATAATAATCACATGTATCACTAGGCTATATTTACTCTATATCAGCATTTATCTTGGCCTAGATGGGATTGCAGCGCCATGTGTTCCTAAAGTTACTGTGCCGTATTGTTGAAAAGCGATAATCTTCAAGCAGCCGCACGACCTTTCCGTCGAGGCCTTGATGGGTTGGTGTTCGTGGACTTTCTATCCCTTGCTTACAAAATTGTGCCAACATGTATATATGTGTATATTAGCGATACACTTACCGACATTTATGGATACACACTATCGTCAATGGATGCCTATGCCGGCTGGACTCAAATCCGTGTATTCGTATGTGCCACCGCTGAGACTAATTGATTCCATTTCGCGTGTCGCGGGCATGTCGAATTATTCGGCCCAAGAAGGGGGAGGCCGGGTCTGTGGAATAGCATGAGACAGCAGTCAAAGAATCAGTTCAGGGTGTTTTCTGCTATCTCGTGCTCTGTTGCTGCAGTGCCTCCGAGGTCTCTAGAGTCTTGAGTTTAGTAGGAACGAAGCGTTGGATTCTTGCGGAGATCTGCTTGTGTGGGGATGTCTTGGTGTAGCTAATTTTGACAAGCACTCATAGGATATGCACCACCTCGCTTCCGATAGTGGACCGTGTGGAGAGTATAGCAGCGCCATACAATTGGGCACAAAACTGCTAGAATCATTATTTAAGGATTGTTATATAATAGATTGCCATTAATTGCTGGCATCGTAGTATCGATGGCATTTCGGCTAGGAACCAGACGGAATTGAACCTTATTTGCGTATTTTATTGCGGATGCATTGAGGATATGTTTTCATAGCCTTTCTACTACAACAAATGAAATAGTTTATGGACACTTGGGCCGAACATTGATTCGTAAATGCTGATCGCACAAAGACAGCCACACATGTCTGCGGATACAATTACATATTATAGAAATATAAGGCTTTCCAGTTCGTAGGACTCTGAACCTTAGGCGAGGAGCCGCCCGTAGTACATCTCAATGCAATTTCATAAGTCGTACATAAGTCCCTCTGGCGATATTTAGTTTAGGTAACATAGAATGAAAAGACCTCTAACCATAAACAATAAGACACCTAAATGTTGTCGAAAAAAAAATATATATATATATAATAAGCTTAGTAATTGAAACTGCTGTAAAGGTAAGGCCTCTTTAAACTTTTATTCAAGACATCGCCATTAGCTCCTTGATCCACTCCCACATTCATCGTATATCTCTATGAACAAACGACTCCCTTTCTAGGGTTCGAGTCAAGCTTCGAGAGAGAGCATTGTCGTTTGGGTAAATGTGCGACACTAGCTCTCTTAGCTAGCCCGCTTGCGAAGAATAGCGGGGCTTCAAGAAGGGGACCGGGCAAAACAACCTCGTGAATACGTTGCCAGGCAAAAGTGCTTTGTGTTCGGAATCATTCACTGGGTATACTTCCCACCCGAGTTCTCCCTCCCGTGAACAAACGAGGTCTATCGACAAGGGGTGTGGACTTTATTAATGCCTTTAAGCGCTTGCTCCAGCGTCTCTCGGAGTAAATGGCAGCGGGGGAGCTACTATCGGATAGAACGAGAGTCAAGATTGTCTCTGGACTCCTGCGTCCACTCAGTCGGCGTTTAGCGAAAGGCCACCGCTATACAAGTTCTAGCACATGTAGCGAAAAGCTCTGATTCTCTCAGCCTAACGCTCTCAGAAACAGGTGAACGGCAATCAGCGAGGGGAACAATATAGATCATCTTATTGCTGTGTTTAATTCAAGTTGCCCCATTCAAATAGAACGCAAATAATCAGAATATCTCTTTAGTTTGTTTCTATTATATTCTTGTTTCATCGTACGTTTCATTATACAGCTTCTCACGGAGCTATTTAAAAATAACTGTAGCCAAATTAAGTTTCAAGTACCAAAATTAACTTTAATTATATCAGTAGAGGCAATATTGATCCGTTTGGAATTCGAGCGATCTGAACCAGTATTAGCCGGTATAGCTTTAACTGTTTCGACTATAGTCTGTGATATTGGCCGCCTCGGTTTTCCTTTTGGAATTTTCCTTGCTCATAAATTGGATGCACTCGGACCTTCTGAAGTCCATACATGAAAAAGTTGTATTTTGATCAGGCAATGGATCGCTTCGAACGATGGATGAATGTACACTTATCTTTAGCTTTATCTGAATTCACTTCAATGATTCAAGTTAATCTTATCGTAAACATATACAACAATAGCACATGTTTTTTAAATTTGCGAACAAAAACTTCAAAATTTGATTTATACAGGACAACGAAATGCACCGCAACCTAAGCGACCGATGATCCGGCGGGCCAAACTGTGTCGCCCTCCACTACGATAAGTAATCAACACCCAGGGCAGAAACTTTGGATGGTCGATATTTGACAGACAAACCAAATGCCAAAAAGCTTTTATTATGCATGTGTAAAGGGTTTGCCCTTTTCAAATGTGCGTGCTATATTTATTGGGCTATGTGCCGACATACTGACCCAATACTGGAAGATTAATTAATTCGGGTGAATTAGATTAGAAGAAGAAGATTACAGCAAATAACAAACTTAGACTAATTTAAAGTCGGATGCCAAAAACGTACAGTAGACATTTATCATTACGTGTTATTTAGACATTATCGTCATATAGTTTTCCATTTCTCTAGCACGCGTTTAGCAAACCAAAACTTGTATTTGCTTAATATGCAAGAAGCTCCTATCTACGTCATACAGATCCTGGATAGATACGATCTTACTTGGTCAGATAGATTGATTCCCGTACGAAATTAACCATTAGCGTCCGGCAGTTACGGCTTGATAAAATTAGTACTTATCGCTAATTATCATTACAAAGAGACCGTGGTCGAATTAAAGGGTTCTTTAATTATTCTGTAGATTGCCAAAAGATCGAAGTAGTTCGTCAATAGACCTGCAAAGCCAGACTATCTAGAAATTGACTCCTTGGTCTCACTCCTAAATTATATATATGCATCGTATACCACTGTTCTTTGACGCTCTGTTAATGAGTCGCCTATCCATCTGTTCCTGTACCCATGATAGCTTCGTCTGCTAACCTTAGGGGAAGGTTCGAACCTGGGAGCCAGTTGTCTGATAGAATGCTTAATGGCGACCCCTCAGCACATAATGCGTGCCTGCACGTGCGTGTGTCTTGCTTTACGGAAAAGAAGAGATACAAATGGGAAGTATCAAACATCCACCGCTCTCCATTACAGATATTATAGATAAGTGTTATTTTTTTTGTCAAATCAGAGGTCTATACAAGGATAAATTGGGTCGTCCAAGTTTGATTTAGATTCGCGAATCAGCTCTGCTAGTTACGCGCTTTAGCGCACTCCTTGTGGCACGTGGTTAAATTCGGTTCGGGCGGCTGAACATATCGCCTTCTTCCGAGGCTGGACCGGCCTAGTACTAGGTCGCGAACTGGAGTCGCGAATCTATGACTATTGCCAATAGAAGTTTGAAGGACAAGTTGTTAGATAGGGAAACTGTTTGCTGTTATTAGTCCTGAAATGTTAGTGGCAGTGATAGTTGATTTTTAAAGATCCCTTTTAATAATTAGCCTTTGTTGACACTATGTATATAGTTAAAGTGAAATATCAAATAGGAGCCTCGCAGGTATTCAATACTTCGTTACCATTGTGTGCAATCGTCTCGCATAAATCGGTCCAATGTTTAGCACAAGCGTTGATTCAGTAGCAAAAGTAGATGAGCAACGAGAAAGAGAGGGGGTAGAGGGGATCGTAGAAAAAACTGCTTGTTAACATCGGTAGATGTAGATAAATATTGTTTCGTGATACCACTGCAGATACATCCACATCCTTATGCAAAAAGCACGTAATAAACAAAATACATATAGATATACATAGTTGTGCCATTGCTATTGGCAATTATTACCAGGTATTGATAAATGCGTGTATGTTTTCGAAAGGCAGACATTAAGATAAACTAAAGACAACTTGACGATACGCTTTATCGACAGATCGAACCAAAGACGCCGTGATAGAATAATGAGGTTACTCCCGGTCCATTTTGGTGTTTTATGCAGCTGTAACAGTGTACGTAGCTGCAGCTGACTATTATTGCGGCCTACGCGGTGGCTGCCGTCGCTTGTTCTGACTGGGGCATAATCAGATGCTTGTAATGGCTGCGCTTGATGATACCACTATCTCGGCTTGTCTGTTCGTCTGTCTACGTATTGTTGATGCGGTTGTCCGGCTGGCGACCCGCACTGCCTTCGCCATCAGCGACAACGTTGCCTGCTCAAATTCGCTGCCGTTTGATGCACAAAATATTCGCAGCGCCGTCCCAATGCTGCTGCTGTTACTCGAAACGACTTTTCGAGATCTGAGAACTGTTCTTTATCTAGATGTGTCTATTCGGTCTTCGTTCTACAGTGCTTGACCCTTGTTTTCTTGGCATATTGTCCTAAAGTTAAAGCAGAGTCTCCCGACAAGACCTTCTGTAGCCACTAGAAATCCGCTGTAACCTCTTCTCGCCAGTGGCAACGATAATAGAGTCTCCCTCTTGCGTAGCGTCGACGCAAACTGCCTGTACCCACTTCTAGCCAAGACGCTGCAACAAGCGAGTTTGCCCCCATGCCGCTAGGGGGCGCGAAGGGCGGAGCTAAAAGTCCCGCCCAGTGGCGCCCTCTCCTGGGCCGTCGAAACGGACGACGTCAAAGCGAGCGGTTGAATTGCGGCCAACCAGTGATTTTGGTATAGGACGGACGAGCGGCATCTCTCGGACTTCGACGAAGACGTCAACGAGTCGTAGTCACTGTATTAGTATCACATTGTACGTGCTTTGCCTTGTTATTGCCTATGTTTTTCTGTGAAAATCAATTGTGTCATGATTGCCAGCGACTAGTGTTGAGATGTGTAACATTGGTGGGAATGATATATGATTATACAGTAGCCCCAAGATGGAGCGGCCGATCCCGGGGTGGTACGACATTAAGCCTGATTTCTACTGGTAACAGCATTACTTTGTCGTTACATTTACATTCCTTAAGTTTGCGTAGAATAGAATACAACATTAATGAATACAGCTTTCGAACAGTTTAGCGAGCTCAGCTCATGCAGTATAAGAGTGTAGGTGCAATCAATTTTTGGAGGTAGTGACCAATCGAAGAGGTCACAGTTAGGGCGATGTGCAATTTTAGCTATTGAAATGGAAGCTTAAAAGTGCTTGAAGTACCTTGGTGCGCGCAGAGGAATATAACGTAAAACACAGTCATCGATAGTCAACGTCGAGGCTACTGAAAGCGAGGTGTGTGGCGATACTTCAATATCCACTTTCCAACTGATAGTTCAATATAGATGTGTAAAATTTATGAAAACAGTTGCAGCTAGCAGTCCTACATTTTCTTTGCAGTATAACGAAAGGTGATTAGGTAGAATTTATTACTCTTATACTATATCGAAAGTAAACGATGGCTTGTTTCTGTTGTACTTGGTAAACAAGAAAAAACATCACCCGACTTCTTTTCGCTTTTGTTTAGTTGAGTGGAATCGATATAATGTGGATAGACGTTTCATATTTTTTTGGACCTTACTAAGTAATAAAGGAAAATCTGCTAGTCCAAGTGACTTACCGCACTCTATATGGTTTATGGCTAGCAGACAATCGCAAGAAAAAATATTTCACGAATAGAAAGAACAGCATTAATTTAAAAATGATTCAGCGAAGTGTACCTTCATTTTACGTAAGCACTATTTTAAGGCGATAAGTCCATTTTATCAAGACGTATATTTTTTGTAGCCTTATTTCCAGGAAGAATATTTGCGTGCATCATTGTTTCACGTGACACTTTTCGTGATCTCCAGCGACCAAAGAAAAGCAGCGCAGTTCCAACATGGTGATTCTATCTGGTGGCGGAACGAGCCATTCGCAGACATCGACTGATTTTTCGATGAATTCACGACGATCTCCAGCCTCTCGACCCCAATCGCCGTCTGCTTCGATGGCTACACACGCACCTTTCCTTATCCGCAACCTCATCACCTCACCGCACAACTCCAACTCTCGTGTACCCCCCCTGTCACCAGCAGTACCAGCAGCAATTGATCCGGACGCAGTTGGTCAGAGTCACCGGAGACGTACTTACGGCATAAATAGCCAGCAGTTATTGTTCACTACGCATCCAGCGGCTTTACCCGCCACCGCTTACGCTAATCCAGCGACTGCTCTAGCTAATGCGCTTGTCTCTAATCAAGCCGCTTTGACCTCCCCAGCGAATCCGTTGAGCCCAGGCGGCAATAACGCCCTTAGCGATGCTCATCAGAGGCTATTTGAGCAACAGCGACAAGCAATAGCAGCTGTACAACTTCTATGGAACGCTGCACATTGCGGCCTCAGTGCTCAGCTACAGATGGCCAGTAGAGGTGTCGGAGAAGGCACCGCTGGTGGCCCATGTCCGGACGGAATCGGAACAATTGGATTAGCCGCGGGCATCGTAGCTTTGAAGTCGTCGACGTCCGACGGACAGCCTCCGGCTAGACCAGAATCCACTGAAGGTAAATTCAACTTCTCCTCTTATCTAACCACTAACTACCTGTATTATGTAAGCTTATTTCATCATCAAGAGTCGGCTTTATCTATGAAAGATATGAAAGATAATATCGACGCAGGCTACCTACTGTCTCAAGCGAAGGTACCTATTGGGCTACTAGAAGCGAATATGACGGACTTTAAAATCCAATATCTTTTGAACTATGTGCCACCAGCAGACGAAATTTGGCTGGCAAATACTCCACTCTTCTAAGGCCCTGTGCGTGAAAACATCACGCTCATATGGTACTATGAGATAGCCGAATATAAAACAATGAGTACGGCCCAGTATTTCGGCTTCTTCAAATTGTTGGCACGACAATCGAGAGCGCGCAGTCTGGTTGCCTATTAGTAATGCCAGACCGCATCGCCGTGCCTGGTTTACTTTCTGGATTGAACAAAGGGAACATACAACATTCGCCTTAACCCGCCTATTGTCCCGATCTAAGTCTGTGTAATTACGAGGCTTTCCCTGCCTCAAGAAGAATAACTAGCAAGTATATCCCACAATTGATTTGTTTCCAGAAGCCATAGATAAAGAAATTACATATAGGAACGCGAACATCATAAATGAGAAATGAAAGGGAGCACCTTTAACACAATTTAAGAGGTCGTTATTCCAACCCAAATAGTTCAAAAGTTATTCAGCTTCAGGGTTCGCTACCTTTTGTATACCTTTATAT